ATAACAAGTTACATTGTGATTTATATTATCACTCTTCTGAAAATAAAAAATAATCCTAGTTGTGCTTAGTTGTAGAAAAATAACATTTTGTTTTCTATTTATTTTTAATTGTACTTTATGCTAATTTTTCTGGTTTGAAGAGGTATTTTATTCTTATTTTTTTATATAAACTATCAAGCATTTTCGATGTACGAAATAACCTGCTTATAGGATATATATAATATACATATAGTATCTAATACTTGTGTTCAAATACTCCATATAATATGTAACTGGAACGTTAAAAAATTGTTGTAGTCTTGTAGGGTTATATATTTGTATAGAATATGATATTTATTAAATATTACTTAAAAACTATATTTACGTGTCTACTTAAATAACAGTGATATCGCCAAACTACTTTTCTTCAGCACATGTTTAAAAGCGGGACACACAAAGTCTACAAGTATAAGTAATAAGTTTATAATATTATGTGCCTATTTATAATTTATATACATATGTTTCAGACTAGTTTTTTGAATTTACCAATGTAATGTAATTACTTGTAATTCATTAATTTTAAATTATTTTAATGTATTTCGAAGTCGATCTGACAAAGACCCGTAGTATTAAATGTAGGTACGAGTATTTAATGACTGCAGATGGAAAATTCTGTATATTTTATATCTAAAGTAAAGATTATTATTATTATTATCTTTCCTGATAAATGAGTATCGATAAACTAATATTAGAGCAATTAACGTAGATGGGAAAATATTTTTGAATACCTAAGACTCGGGCTATACACGGCGTTTTCCGACATACTGGCTATACTAAGAGTATTCGTTGCGTTTTCCGCCAAAACGCAAGTTGGCCGGCGTTTTCTGCCGCGGATTTAAACGCGGCGTATTTCATCCATCGTCAGTGTTGGGTAGTAATACGTAACGAAAGTAACGTGTTACTGTAACGGCGTTACTTTGCTTGTAACGCGTTACGTAATTTCATTAGAATTATTTCYAAGTAACAAAAATGTAATGGAAATTACTTTTGATAAATAATTTCTATTGAATAACGCGTTACAGTAGCGAATTATTAGGAACTTACCTACCTTTTGCGAATTGAAAAAAAAATATGTCTATAATGCGGACATTATTATGTTTACCAATCTAGTATAGTAATATACCATGTATATTTATTAAAGCTCCTTATACAGCTGATCTCACAATTTTGATTTCAATGACATTAGTAAAGAATATTTTTATTAAATACAACACAGCTTTACCATCTAGTGCTTCTGTAGAGCGATTATTTAGTGTTTCAGGGGACATTGTTCTAAAAAAAGGTCGCATATGATTGACAAAAATACACTAATGTGTAAAATGAATTTAAAACATAAATAAATATAAAATAATAAAATTGTATTATATTGATTATAGTATATTGATTTCTTTTTCAAATTATATCTATTTACTATAGGTAATATATTTCTAGTAACATTAATGCCAGGCACAATGATAATATTGTTAAAATATATTTAAAAATATTTTTTTTTCAACGAGAAAGTAATGAGTTACTTTTCAATTTGAAAAGTAAAGTAATTTCATTACAATTTTATTAGAGTAACGAATAAAGTAACTTAATTATTTTTAAAAGTAATTTACCCAACACTGTCCATCGTGTATAGCTACTTCAATATAAAGCAATAAGTTTTGTCTTCGACGGAATACGTGGCGTACGAAACGCGGTGGAAAACGCCGTTTATATAGTCTAGGCCAAATTGTACTTTAAATTGTTAACCATTACATAGTTATTTATATACATAAAACATTCATAAATATATTATATCAAATATTATAATAATTTTCTTATATTGTAGGTTATGTGATATTATACTGATATTTATACAATACATATACGACCACGAGGCCTATATATCTGT